GGCTTTAAATATTAAATGATGAATGCAATAGCAGCCAAAGGAAGATTTAACTAATACCCTTTTGCTGTTACAGGTGCAATCCAACACCAATCCTATTAAACTCAGACAAAATCTCAGAGGCTGCAACCTATCTTCATCTTGAGAAATCAAAACAAAAGGCAGCTCTGAATTCTAGTTTCCAAGATAAACTTAATACTACCACACAGTTGTCTACACCTCATAAACTAATAAGAACAAAAAGGTTTTATGGGACCCCTATATAGAGCAATGATGATGACCATGATGGATATGATCATCTGTTGGCGTTATGCAATGCATATGATAATGGCTGTGATGATGATGATAGTTTGGTGTTGGTGGTTTGGTAGTATGGCCTTACTCAAGGAAACCTGTTTTTGTCAAAACAGCATTCCTCACTCTGCTGAGATCTCTACCTTTGAGAGTCCTTCCCATTCCTTCACACACAGAGAATGAAGAAATCTGGCTCCTTGCAAGCTTCCTGGCTAGCCATTCATGTGGGGGAACCATGTCATCATCACCATCACCATCATCATCGCCACCACCATCACTATGATGATAATCTCCATGTTCATAACCGGTACTGTCACCAATTCCATTCCCATCATAAACCCATGACCCATTTGTTGAAGTTGCACATTTTCCATAAATTTTGGACCAATCAGGGATCTTGACTGGTGCTGATGATTGTTGAGCCATCTTGGTTTCATGGCTTGTTAAGTTGCTTACTTTTGGTATAATTCTCGGAGTGGTGCTGACGCGCCATGCAGAGGAAGAAGAACCTCCATAGTCCTTGGATTTCCTCAGGGTAGGACTTGAATCTTCCTTCTCCTTTGCATAAGACCACATATCTTCCTCTTCAAAATTTTCATCCCTGACTGAGCTCCTATTGTAACTACAAGGACTCTTCCTCATGATTCCTTTCCTATCCGCCATAACCTTTTCTGCTAGCTATACAAAGCAAAAAAGGAGGTTACAGCTTCAAGTGGATGGCCCAAGACCATAGAGGGGGAAAAGGAGATGGATTTGAGCAGAAATAGCAACTTCTTGAGTTATAAATAGATGGGAGAAAAATGCTTTTCTTATTCCTGCTTGCTTTTGATCTCATTTGTTGTTTGTAAAGAGATAACACTAAGATTGTTTAAACTTTAAAGTGAATAAAAAAGAAGAAATGTGTAAGAGAATAGTATCAGGAATCTACCTTACCTTTGTTTCAATAACCTCCAAAAGAACGAGGGCTTTTCAAAGAAATCACAAATGGGTTCTTTGCATAACCCCAAAACCCCAACCAGGATAAAGAGAAGCTGGGTAAAGCTCTTTTCCCTTTGCCTGAATACCTCCAAAGAAAATCACAGATTTCAAGACCCTCGAAATAGTACCCTGCACTGCAATAACAGAGGAGAAAAAAACAACCAAAGAGATGTATACGAGATCATTTCTTGTTTCTTTCCCCAACTTTTATGCTTATATATTATATCAAATTCAACAAAACATTTTTAAAAAAGAAAGATGATCTCAGTAGCAGTATTCAATAACTTACCCTCGAATGTTCACTACAAAGGTGGGTTTGGTGCCCACAGAAATGAGGCGGAAGTAGGGTATTGAGGCATTGTGCAATTCCAGGCCAGAAACCAAATCGTATCAGAGCATATTTTGCCACATGTAGAGCCCAGTCAGTGTATAGAGGTTCTTTTGGGGCTTATTTATTGTCATCCATCCACTCAGTGTGCATTGATTATGCATGCAACAGCATCTCCTTTCATTTTCAATATGAAATATGACTTCTTTTTTTTTTTTTTTTTTTTTTCGCAAGAACTTAAAAGACTAGACTTTGATTGGGAAAGGTGGAAGAGTTGGATTGGACAGACCAACCTCACTGATTTCCGTAACCTTATCCGCAAATCACACCACACCAACAACTCAGCTCTTTCTCGCTTTTACCAGAGAGAAAAATAAGATCAGTAACAAAGGGAGCTATGTGATATGTGAAGCAAAGCTTTTCCAAGGATGCCTAGGAAGGGGTGCTTATGGAGTAAAAGCATTCGGTTGGATGACAGCGCATTGAGATTTGTGGTGGGTGACTTGGTTTTTGGTGATGATCATATTTAACTGTGACTGCAACTTCTACCTATTACTACTTCATTCTTCAATGCTTCCTGGGTTTTGGGATCACATCACAGCAGGATAATGAAGAGCAGAGAGAAAGAGAGTGGGTTGAATTTGTTAATTTGTTAAGGGGGTTAAGAATATAGCCAGGGAGGTTGTGGCCGTGGCCCTGGTGGGTAGGGAAGTAGGCTGAAGGGTCCTCTCATCTCAAATCAGGAGGGTCTGTTGGATAATGACCCAAGAGAGGGTTTATTGTGTTGTGGGTCAACCCTTTTTTTTGGCTGTTCATCATTCACACCATGCACCAGAGATGTCTGATACCACAATGAGTGAGAATACTGTGGACTTTTTTTTCTTTTTTTTTTTTTGAGGAAGTGAATACCGTGAGACTTGCATGTACCTCTACCATCCCGTTAACAAGTTACTAAAAATCACTCCGTAACGTGATGCCAAAAACACTTAAAAGTAGTACAATTGGTTACCCTAAGGACCCAAAAAAAAACAAAAAAGATCTTCTTCAAGACTTCAACTGCAACCGTGCAACTCAACATCCAAGGAAACATAGAACTCTGATTAACTTTGGAAATAAAAGACCTAACAATTTCATTTGACAAGCTGCCTGATCTTCACATCTTGAAATTCTCACTCTCAAGAGGATAAAAGGTTAGAGAAAATTGGTCTATTGAAAGAGTTTGCTAGAGGGGGATACTTCCTGAGTAAGAATTTCAATTTTCAACATTTACTCTAGTACTTCAACATGAAGAAACATCCTTGTGATAGAAAAATATTTTTCCTGATTTCAATGATACAATGCCTAACACATCAAACATTATTTTATTTATTTATTTTATTGCTGGCAAACACAAATGTAACTTCCTTCATTAGTTTATATTATCATATAAAGATGGGGGGACTAATGATAATAAGCTTAATCTTGATTACCAAATGCTATCATACCTAATTATCTATATGATCTGGCAAAATCATTTTGTTCATTGCTGTACCAGAATACAAATAGAATATATACACTTGTTCAATTCAAAAAAACCCATTATTGTTTTACCAAAGACAACAAAGAACATTTTTTTTTTTTATAACAAACTTTTCAACTAGAAATACTTGCAAACAATGGATTTGAGGCAGATTCTGTGGCTTGCTTAATGGGATATCAATATGAGATTGTATGATTATATATAAGATGGAATCTTAGTAAGAGACTAGAGTGGTCAAAAATCAAATCACCCAAAAGCTTTCTAATCATTAAACAAAAGAAACCCATTTCTACCATCCAAAAGGACCCATTTCGATGAGATAAGCACCTGGGAAAAGGCACTTATAGGAGATTAGTGGAAACAGCCGGTTGAATTTGTTAGCAAAATCTCAAATCTCGCAGTGCAGTCCACTAACACTCCATATCAGTCCCATAACCATCATATGATTCATATCTATTAGGTCTGTGTCGCATCAATGCAATCCCAAAGACAACCTAAAGACCATCATTCTACATGCAATGGCAACCATTCATGGCCCCCAAGATATCATCAATAACATGATTAAATTCCCACAGTTTCATCACTGCCCATAGTTTATATATCTTACATATGAAATGTAAAAGAAGTCATTTTTCAAGTCAAAAAGGGGAGTATAATGTAACCCATTTTGGGCTATTCAGTTCCTCAAAGTATAAAGATAGTGTCAAATTAAAGTAGAACAAGAAAACGCACCTTGCTTTCCTTCGTCCACCATGATGTACTCTTGATAATGACACAGTACATAAACAATTACAGCACTTGAAAACAATGCTAAACAGATCCTCATTGCTCTGGACAATTTGATCTTGAGAGGTTTATGGGTAGTTCAGTGGATCTCAAAACAGTCAGTACTTTGAGTTCATCCCATTTTGGGTCGGGCAGAAGGGTAATTGTCTTTGCCTTAGCTGCCATCTTTTTGATTTCTTACACATTTACAGGCTTTGAATTGGGCGGCCTTGTTCATAAATTAGAGGAAAAATAGGAACTTTTTTCCTGGACATTACACAGAGAAGGAATTCTAATTACTGAAAAAGGGTAAAAATTGTGGCTGCTGGGATTCGAGCCCAGGTCTCCACGGCCACAACGTGGAATTCTTACCACTAAACTACAGCCACAGAATGTTAGAGAGTTACTCAGAATATTTATATAATGTTGTGTCCATTATAAACAAGTCTAGGTCCACCGCAATAAACTTTTTTGTTGAAAAATTTACGTCTTAATTAATCAAATTATAAAGCAAATTGTAAGCTGAGTTTTACAATTTTGGGTACAATTTATTAGGCGGAGAGTGCAAACAAGCCCTACTTTATATACTCTTTGAAATCAACATAACAAGAGATCCATTTATATATAAATTTTGCATATTATTTTTGTATAAAATTTTAATTATGCATTTTTTGACTTTTAATTATAAAAATTTATCAAAATTTTTTAGATAAAAAAATAATTATTTTTAATAAATATAATAATAAATTGATAAATTTTAACTATTGAAAATAAGAAGATAAATAATAAAAATTTTATATAAATATACTATATAAAATTTCTATACAAATGAATTCTAACGACCCTATTATGTTTAATGATCTATTTTTCATCCAACTTCCTTAACGGTTGGACAATACGTTGCCACCAAGTAAGTTGTGGGCTGGTTGAAGGTTAGATGGATGATGAAATCATAGTTATAGAAGCATTGACAATTTGATTTTTTATAAAGAGTTTACAAATTATTTTCTACAAATTTTTGTTAAAGAACTTCTATGCCACAAACGAACGAAGTTAGAGTCTTATTTGCACTATACCAATTTATTGTGTCCTTATCTAGAGAAAATACATATCATTTTGATCATCTTGATCATCTTGATCGTAGAGGCTGCTTTGCAGCCCGGTAGCTGGACAATACAATCTAAAACAAGAACGGAGAGAATAAATCATTCTTCAAAATGAAAACCAATAGAAGGTTGAAAAACCAATTAGCTGAACAAACAGAAAAAAAAAAAAACATCAAAACTCCTCAAGAAAAAATTTCCGACAAAATCAAATCTTAAACTTTCATTTATGCAATTTTCCTGATCTTCTGGAATAAGGGTATGAACCATGTCTTAAAAAGATTCTTATTCTGTTTATTAAATTCCAAACCTACTTGAAATTATTTTTATTTTAAATTCTCACCCCATTATCTCAAATTTATTTTCAGTAAACCCATCATGTTGCTTCTCCTAATACTCGAGCAATTTTGTGGTGGCAATCTCTCCAAAAAGAGAAAACAAAACCACGTCCTCTATGTTTAAAAATTAGGTAATCTAAGTTACATCATTTGCATGAGAATTTAACACTCACCACACAGAGTGACTGCGTATTAATCACTACATATTAATTTAATCCTTTCACCACCCACATAATAATATGCTTCTAATATCCAACAATTAGTGGTATCATCCAAATCCTCCACTCCTCTCATGGTTTAAACATCATGTCTCTATAATTTGAAAACTCAAGTTAATGGTTTAAATGCTATGTCTCTATAACTTGAAAACTCGAGTTCTTATTGACTGAGACACTCTCATTGAAACTAGAACCAATTTATCTGAGTCAAACATTCTGGCGTATGTCTTCAACACCATGAACTTTCTCAGTTTTACCTTTACCCTTAATTGCAATATGTTTTATTCATTGTTGATACATGAATCACTATTATTAGCATTTTAACAGTGATGCACCGTGTAATTTTGAAGACAGCCTATTTGCTTTATGCTACAAAAAATGGATGAACCATGTCCAACTAAGGAAAATGGGTATGCTTTTCAATGTCAAGATTACTAACAATTATCACTAAACCTGTACAAAGTACGGCATGGGAATGAGCTTCGTTTTGTCCTCCATGACTGGCTGGTTCACTGGGTTCATTTCCGTGCTGCATGGTAGAGCTCCAAGTAGTCAAGAGCAGGCCGGTTCCAAGACCAGTCTTGCTCCATCACCCTCTTGCATAATGAGTTGAACCAATCCCGTCCGTCGTACCAAGCAGAGATTGCCCTGAAATTTCCATTTTCTAGATGAACACCATGGAAGAAAAATGTGAAATCTAACTATTAATTCATGGATAAATGTATTAGTTACCTATTGAGGGCGTAATCCACTCCACCACTGTCAGCTCCTTCAAAACTGAATCCATTTGGTTCAAGACCTTGTGCTTGTGCTCTTTCTTTATCATGATCAACGTCAAAGACTGTGTCGTAAAGTCCTTGAAATAGGTAATGGAAACAGTGTCAAGTCACTATCTTCTAGATAATTAAGCTCCAATTATAGAATTCTGCAGCATACGTACCTCCAGTTTTTCGAACAACAGGTATAGATCCGTATCTCATAGCTACCAGCTGTGTTAGTCCACATGGCTCAAAAATTGAAGGGACAAGAATGAAATCTGCACCGGCATATATCTAGAACAAAATTTTGAAGCAAAATGGACAGGGTCACAACGTAGGTGTAGGAAGTGAAAGTTGCATCCTTAATAAAGGAAATTAAAATAGAAATGAACTTTGTGAGTAGATACCAAGTGTGAGAGAGGTTCATCATAAGTCAAACATAGGCGAGCACGATCCCCATGAGATGAATGCAGCTGGTTGGCTAAATTCACGAAATCATTCTGGATGCGAGGATCTGGAGCTGAACCAAGCAATACAACCTGCCATCACAAGTTTCTTCATTCACCTCATAACAAGCACACACTCATAAAGGATAATTACTTGGTTGTTCAAACAGCATTCTAAGCATATAATAAATGATTTGTGAATGGAAATATGCACGAAACACTTGTCAACAATGAAAGAGTTAAAAAGGCTTAATTTGTGGAAGTCCAATATGGTTATAAGATTATTATGATTCATAGGTTTATCCAATCAATGTCTCTGTTGAAAAGAAAGCATAGATTGATGCAGATTAACATCAGAGTATACCACTATTAGCAGTTATACATGTCCATTAAGTTCCAATATCCTACACTCAGTGGAGGGGAACAACAAAAAAACTGTATGAAAAGTAGAAAGGAAAAAGACAGATACCTGTCCATTACGCTCTAGTGCCTGCCAAATTGCATGCTTGATAAGATGGATTCCTTTCTGGTGAGTTAAGCGAGTAATAATTCCAACCAAAGGGTGATCAAACACTTTCAAGCCAAGTCTTCGCTGCAAGGCTTCCTTGGCAGCTCTCTTGCCTTCAATAACATTTTCTGAAGTATAAGATACCTGGAATAAAATGAAACATACATCAATAACAGCTTCTTCGGAAGGAGCAGTGATCAAAAGATCCAAGGAAATGCTTTGTGGAGCTAAGTCACAATCAATAAAAGATAAAACAAATGAAAGCTTTGGAATTAAGCTCTAAGATTTCATCTAGAGATTGCTTAGCTGATTTCCTCCTTAGAAATTATGGATGACTAAACATGACAAGAAATGGCTGCCATTTGAGGGCATCAAATTTAACATCTATACCTCAAAAATTATCGATAGGAAAAGATAAAGAGAAGGAGGAGAACAAACTCTTTTTTACTTACAGGAATAATTTTGTCATTAAATGGATCCCAAATATCTGGATCAATTCCATTTAATATTCCATGAAACTTGTGGAGATGAGGTGCAACTGCAGGGTTTCCAGCAACCTCCTTTGAGTAAGTGTGGGATACCTGTATCATAAGAACCAAGTGTAAGCTGAATGTCAACAGTAATTGTGGAAGAGAAGACATAAAACTAACTTGTCAATTGTTTGCATTACATTTTTATCCAATTCTTGGAGATAGATACACCACAAGAACGTGGAGAATGGTTTTTTTGTGTAGAAAACAAAAATGAAAACTATTAAAGCATACACAAGCTGAAGGAAAAAGGAGAAAATTTTTATATGGGTTTAAAAACTAAAATATTAGCTGCAATGCATTAACTAATTGAACGAAAATTTATAGCTACTTACAGTGGTAGCCTTGTCTGAATATGCCATAGCTTTCTCAATGAAGTGTGCTCCAAATTCAAGGTTATGTATAGTGAATACAACGCGAGCCTTGCTAAGACCATAATGCATATAGTGGTCCTTAAACAACAATGCAACTGGAGCGCTAGACCAATCATGGCAATGGATAATATCCTAGTAATTATCAACTACCAGTTAGTTTTGACTATTGCTCACACAAAATGATATCATGAACCATAAGTTTCTAAGTGCAACTAGATTGGCATTATAAAATTTTGGATCAGAGGAATATCATGAAAAATGAACAGTTAAGACTTGCTAGAAACCAAATATTCAGATATAAGCCAGAACAATTTAATGAGTTGAATCATAAACTTACAGGGTGAAATCCATCTTGCTGTAGATATTCAAGAGCAGCATGACAAAAGAAACCAAACCTCTCTGCATCATTTCTGCAACCATATATGCAACCCTTCCAAAAGAACCTAAAAGAAAACAATGCACCGAAAGATTCTTAAAGATAAAAGTTTATGCTGTAATGACGTCAAATTCCATCAAGATGCAGAAAAGCAGTCACAGAACAAAAATATTTCTAGAAGGGACAGCATTTGGGTCTAGCATATGATACAGTTTGCATCCACAAATTGATAAACAGATATTTTTAAGCTTTGGACTCTTAGAACAACTTAGACCAAATGGAAGTTCTTCAAGGAGTCTTGAACTAAAATCCAGGTATTTCTTAAGGACCAAGCACTACCCATACTAGGACATCTATTGTGTAAATGTATTTTTGTTGGAAAATTAAAGAGTTCATTAATCAGGTATCTTTCCAGAATTTGTATGTTGGCAGGCAGCTAACCACCTTTCTTAATCAAGGAAAGGGGTCTTGTACATGTCATCAAAGTTCCTTGCTAAGAATGAGCAAACAATCCACCTTCTATCCCCACTCAGTACGCATATGCAGGGTGGAAAACAAGATATATCTTGTTGTATGTTTAACAGATTCATAATTTTACACTAGAAGAACATGAGAAGTACAGAATTACCCATTTTGTGGTTCCAGAAAGTAAACTGGAAGGCCTTCGACTTTCCCATGCCAAACTTTAATTTCAGTCCCACCCCAAGAATAGCTCCTCCGATACTGCAAGTCCTTCACCTGATTTACAACACAGATTTAAAAAATTGACTACATTATAAAGCCAAGGCTAATAAGCATGAAAAGAAACCTATTTTAGCCTACACATTGGATGGTTTTCAAAATATACTTAAGCAACAGCAATGAAGCTTACATGGCTAAGTTTCAAGCAGTCATACTTTGGAAGAATGATGTCAACATTGTGCTTTAAATCTTGAACAGCACGGGAGAGACTAGTGACAACATCACCTAGGCCCCCAACCTGCAACAATGTGACATGTCATGTAATACTACCAGAAAAGATGTCCTCAAATAGTTGGATTTTAATATAAATAGCTCACAAAGTATCTACTAGAAACAGGCAGTTATAGTGGAACAAGAGTAATTGCTGTTTAGAACAATAGACCTAGACAGACATATTAAAAACACTAATTAGTATGACATGACTCAAATGTGGCTGGATTCCGGCTCAAACTTTTCCTTCTTTATTGAACAAGGAATTTGATCACAAGGACCCACTACAAGGAAATAAAAGTGTGAAATGCTTCCATGAAAGAAATAAGCATATCAAAGATACAGTTATGAAGCCAGTTAAAATCCAAGAGAACAATCAGAGTCAATGACCAAAAATTACCTTTGCTATGGGGGCCATCTCAACAGCAATATGCACAATGTGCATTGGTGGCTCTTTCACAATTCCTCCAAAAACAGGTATGTGGTAATCCATGCCATGGTTGTTGTCAAATATTCCACCATTTTCCTCCTCAGAGAATACAAAGTCCATCATGTATGCATCCAATGGAACCTTAACTGCAAATATAATACTATATGTCAAATCAGAAACTTGTATAATTCAAAGGAGATAAAAGCTGTATTCTTTATTTGTATTCATGACAAAAATGAGATTCAGTGGTGGAGGGAAGAAAAACTTAAGCTTCCATAAAGGATAGATGTTATGACTAAAAACGAGAAAATATCATGTTAATCTCAATATCAGATAAGGTAAACTGAACTTGCCAGTGGCTTTGACAACAGAACCACCATCGGAAGGCAACATTTTCTGGGGTGGTAATGGACCCAACCTATGTGTCCAACGATTGAATGAGCATCTGAACCAAACTTCAGGCTTCCCATTCAGAACCGTGTTAGCAGGGTTGTATAGAACTGTCACTGTACTTCCAGCTTGAACATCAAGAGGTTCAGTGCAAACTATATGCTTTTGAGAAAGCAGAAACCTTCTCAAAGTTTTTTCTTTTGTCTCAGCTTTCATGCGTGCCGTTTTTTCAGCCTATTCAAGAGGAGAACAAGAAAATTTAAATAATTGGCCAAAAAAGAAAAAAAAGAAGAGAGAGAGAGAGAGAGAGAGAAGCTTATTTCAATAAAAAAAAATGCTTAATATCTTTTTAACAGGAATATAAGAAACTTTCTCATGGTAAAGCTAAAATTAGTCCAACATGGAGAAAGAAAATGTATATGCCAGGAAAAATCTTCAGTATTGCAACAATAGACAAAATTCAGTTCTTGCAGCATTTAAAGGTGTAACTAGCCAGAACTTCTGGTATAAAGCCCTTAGCCAAGATGCAATAAAAATTGTATTTTTAGTAAGGATAGATCAAAGGATTCATGCAGGATGGAATTTATGGAAGACTGACTTTGGCACGTATAGCTTCCTCTCTCAATCTTCTCTCCTGTTGGTGTCTCCTAAAAGTCTCACGTTCTTCCTCAATCCAGTACAGTTCTTCAGGAAGGCATTGAGGGACAATAGCATGAAAATCTTGATGGTTATTATTGTCATACACAATAGCACCCTGAGGTGGTCCATCAGCAAAGACCCAATCCAATACAAGGGATCGGTCAGGTACAGTAACTGCAGAAAGAATAGGTACTCAATGAATCACACAATATAACATGCAACAAGGAAAGGGACAAGGAGACATTGACTCTATTCAAGCAAGAATACATGGTTCTTCTTCGCACATATGCATGCATGCATGCATGCACACAGAGAAGAGGTAGAAAATAACGAGCACTTCAACAAGTTAACAGCAATATTATGAGGGCTGAGATCTCAACTTCCCAAGCCAAAAAGGATCATAATGCTCAAGAGAAAATGAATGGGAAGACCACCAACAGAACCACAAATACCTAAGAAACCCAAAACCACAATCAAAGATACCAGTAGATTATGATTCATGTTACAATTAATCAATGAAAGTAAGGGTTTCCATGCTTACATGAATGCATGTTATATTCCTACCATTCACTTTCTCATTGAAGGATTAGAGCATCACATTTTTGCACTTCAAATATCAAACCCATTGAATACCATTTTCAAGGTCATATAAACTCTAATAAACAAGAAATAAAACATAAGATACACATCAAAACATACCATCGGCATACCACCAATCACCACCCTCTCTTTCAGAGCTGACAAGCCTTTCAGCAATTATTAATCCATCCTTCCAATTATTGTGCCCACCATGAATCCAAAGTTCCCTGGAATGAGCAAGAGGGCCTGAGCTTTTGTTATAATACAACCGCACCCTATCCTCACCTTTAAACTCACTAGGTTCAATGAACCAAACATTATCAGCTGATTTTACAGCCTTTCTCAGCACGATTTGCAAATTTTCTCGCCTGCTTTCAATCTCCACCTTTGCCTGCGCTCTATCTGCATCAGTTGCTGTCTTCTCTGCTTCCATTCTTCTATGCTCTTCCTCCTGCCTTTCCCTTTCAGCTTGCTCCTCAGCAAGTTTCTCTAGTTCCCTCCGCTTCTCCTCAAGCAAGAAATCTTCAAAGGAAAAGATATCCATTCCACCCTCCACAGGAATGCAGAAATCCTTTTTATCATTATTGTCATAGACATTTTGCCCATTGAAAAACACAAAGTCCATCTTATATGCTTCTTTTGGAACATGAAGCTGGCAAGACCACCAATCCCCATTCAAATGGGTCTTATGTAACCTCACAGTAAAAGATTTCCATCGCCAGTCATTAAAGGCCCCCATGATTAAAACATCTGGCTCATTATTCAGAGTGGAGAGACTTCTATTAAGGAACACTTCTATGTCTTGATCAGGTTTTATCACCTGAGGGTAAACAAAAATTTTGTTCCCCTTTGAGAAATTCTGATCAGCAAGCCTCTCGATTTCCTGCTTACGCAATTTCACTTCCATTTCTATCTTCAGTTTCAGAGAATCATCTTCAGTTCTTTCATCAGATTTAAGAGTTTTAGCCTTCAGAGTGTCATCGATCTTTAGACTCTTTACGCTATCCAAATGACTTTTATTCTTTGTACTATCCAAAAGCTTCCCCTCTGAAGCTACTTCTTTGGTCAAATTTTCAACTTTATTAACAGAAGATGTTTCCTTTTGTAACACTCCAACATCTTCAACTACCCTGATTATATTTCCATTTTCTAACTTCCTGGTGTTCTTAGCAACAGTAAATTCATTGCTTGTTGATGGTACATCATCACTTTTCTTTTCCTTTTCAGATTCATCAACCTCTTCCTCCCAGTAAACTTCAGCAGATTCTTCCTCAATAGCAAAATTTGATTCAAGTTCTTTCTTGCCGGGACCTGCATACTCACCCGATGTAGGAACAGTCAAATCCTCTTTCTCAAAATTATTCTCTTCCTCTTTCCTCTGCGAGCTTGTCCCTACCTGTGTTTTTGGCACCAATCCCTTTGGAGAAGGTCCTTTAGGCTTTGAAGTAGACAATCTTCTCTGTCTCCTCTTTGAAAAATCTACACAAAGACCAATTCTAGAAATTACATTCAACCAAGTCCATTAAAAATCATTAACTTCAAACATAAACATTTTAAATACCTGCACTAGCATAAATTCGATGTGAAATCCCTCTTGCCATGCCGTCACTATGCCACGATGTACACTGATACAGAATGCATCAAAATTAGAAAACCAACATAAAATAAATCAGCACCATAATATTAACTCAAAAAAAAAGATAACATTCCAATCAACTGACACATAAAGACCAGAGCTTTTCAAACACCCAACTAATCCCAGAAGGAACAAAAACAAAGACCCAATAAGCCGTTTCTATTTAAGAGCATGAAAGAATGAATTCAACAGAGAAAAGGATATTTACTAGTGTTGTTCTTGAACAGGGAAATGACCCAACAAAAGATTTGATCTTTAAGCACCCAGTTCAAACACCCGGCTAATCCCAGAAGGAACAAAAACACCCAATAAACCATTTCTATTTTGAAACATGAAAGAATGAATTCAACCGAGAGAAAAAGGATATTTACTAGTGTTGTTCTTGAACAGGGATATGACCCAACGAAAGGTTTGATCTTTAAGCACCCAGTTCTCTCATTGAACATAGCTCTACAACATAAGGGTCTCCGAGCTCCCAAACCCACTTCCATGGCTACCCCACAAAACCGTCAGAACAAGAATAAAGAATGTTTTGATCTTCAAAGCTCCCTCACTTACTGCTTCATTGATCCATCTAGAGCTGCGCACATATCGAAATATAAAAATACAAAAATATACAAAAAAAAAAAAAATTCTTATAAATAATACTAAACAAAGAAGAAGGAGATGCGTTTGCGTCCTAGAATGTCATCCATTAGTATCTATCTTTATTGTCTGTGTCAGTGTGTACCATAAGGAAAATAATTGACGGCAAATTGACCGTGGATTTTACATTGGTGGGTAGTTGACGATAAAGATTGGTTGGAGAGTTGAGGAATGGAGAGATTGAGTGTAGCAGATTAGAACCTGGGTGAAAATCGGGGATTTTAGAGGCTGTTAGGCCTGGAGGGACCGGAATTGGTGCAGCATTCAACACATCAAATCGGTAGCTGACACGTCGGAAAATTTTGGACATCCTATTTGTAACTTGTCGAGTTGGCAATACACGTGTACGGATATCCGTTTTGGGGATTTTTCTAGCGAAGTTATATAAAAAAATGGCACAAGTTGTGGCATGTCAGCCCCTCTACTTCAAATTAGTGCAAATCATCCCCTCAACTACATGAAATCCACAAATCAACCCTTTTTAGTAAAAATGATGTCATTGTTTCGTTAAATCTTCTATTGCCTTGTTAAGATGGGATGACTAGGGGCTAATCAGGTGATGACTATGTAATGATTTATCACTTTAAAGATTTTGAGGTCACATTACTTGTCTAAGTTATTGTCTAGTCATCAACTAATTAGCTCTTAGTCATCCCATATTAACGGGCTAATGGATGGTTTAATGAAAAAAATGACATCATTTTACTAAAAAGGGCTGATTTGCTGATTTTGTGCAGTTAAAGGGTTGATTTGCATTAATTTAAAATAGAGGAGATGACATGCCACAACATTATAAGTAAAAGGGTTACGTTACACTTTTGCCTAAAAAAATTTGTATATACTAAACATATAATTGAAAGAAAACATACAAACATGGTTGAGTTGAGAAATAGTAAAGATTTTTTCATCAGTTAACGTCATGTTGCTCTCAATTATTAAGTACTTAGAGGGTTCGCTCCCATCTTATCCTTTTATTGTCATTTTATTGATTAAAGTTAATTTTTTAAAGAGGTTGATAAAAAAATTTTTATAGATGTTATAGTCCTAAGATGGATAATTTATTTTTAATTGAGTCAAAGGGAGATTATTTTTAAGAAAAGTATAAACTCATTCAGAAATAT